ATCTTGTGACAAATCAGGAACCATGGGACTCCAGAAGATTTTTAAAAATATTTTCCCTGTCAGTGAGAAAGAATTTTAAAAACTTCTTACTTGAAGAAAGGGTATATATTAAAGCTAGTGATTCTTCACATTAAATGTTGTACCATGTCAAACCGACAATTAGGCCTATCAAAATATACTAGCAGTGTTTTATCAATCTCCAATTTTGATGTTATTCAGTTAGTATATCTGCACGCTATTCACAAAGGCAGTGGAGTAATCTATCTGAAGTGATTTATATCATACTGGATGATATAAAGGGCCATTCAACCCCTAAACAACTAAAATGCAGTTTGACATTTCATAGAATCCCAAGCACTATACAGTACAACCACAGGACTGTAAAACATCATGTTTTGGACATGTTTTGGTCCTCCTACTGTATAAGGCGACTGACAGCCTGAGGACCAACATCCTGGCAATTCAAGATTTTTTTGTATGAATCTTAGAGGCAGATACACGTCATGTAATTTTTCCGTTATTGATTTTACATGAGCCCTTTATGGGTAAACTGTCTGCATTAGTAGTAAGTGGTATGATCCCGTAACTGCATGTCCCCTGGCTTTGAAAGTCACCAGGGCTGAGTGGTTTGTCACACTGACATATTCTGTGTTTCTTATTGAGTCATGTCTTTTGACTCTTTTAATTTTCAGCATTACAAAAATTATTATACAAACCATGACAAGGGTTTTATGCCCAAAGGACAGGATTGGTTCCACCATTATCTGATTACTGATTCTATTGCTCTTTCTGTCCCAGCAATGTGCCCAAACTTCTTTATATGAATTGGTTCAGTTTAATACGGTCTGTATTTAACACTTGCTATCCCTGAATATAATGATGAATTTTTATATATTACCCACAATACCCCAGTTTAAAAACAGTTGGATAGCAATTATAATTGTTTTCAAGTTGACAAGTTCTTGTTTTTCACTATAAAAACGCCTACTCAACACCAAATTTGAAGTCTATAATCAATACTTTGGAATAGCCGTCCGGCCAACAACCTTACTGTATTGGTTCACTCTTACCACTCTCATTGTGTTGTTTTTGGCCACAGCAAAAAAGCTCTGAAAACCCACTGTACACTACCTGCTCAGCACCAAAAAGCAGAAAGACACAGGTAGCTGGTGAATACTGTGGAGCATTTAGCATCGAAAGAGCCAGATATTCCCCTCAGGAGTTGGTAGAGAGAGACCAAAGCTAAAAGATTAAACTTGCATTCATCAGGTGGACATAAACAAAACTCTATTTACTAACAAGTTTGCCATATCAATTTGACAAGTATATGTCACTGTTTTGTTCAGAACTTGTTGCCCCTAAATGGCAAGAAAAATCCGCTATTGCAGGTTCAACATCTAAATCACTGTGGCAGAAAATCATTTCAAAGAAGAAACCAACAATACACTTTCACAAGGAGGCTGTACATCAGCATGCTGAACATACCTCTACCCCATCTCTCTACATTTGAAGCTGTCACTATGCTGTGCCAAGGAATGGGTTGTAAATTAAAATGTGAGGCTGTCAAACTGTTGGGACCCCAAAAAGCTTGTGCTGGCCCTGGGTAAATGCATTATGGTATAAGAGGATTTGGCAGAGAATACGATTTGAATGGTTTGTTTTCCTCTTTCTTTCAGGGCTTTAGCTGCAGTTTTATTATCTGAGGGAATGCTGCTCTCACCAACAGTTGGTCTGATTTGGTATACTATGTCAACAAGAGCCTCTGTTTACCCGCTTGATTCAATACAGAATACAACTATCACTTTAGATTGAAATATTTCTGCTTCTGCTTTTTTGGGCATGTTTTCTTCCTTGAAAGGAGTTTTAATCAAGTGACAGTTTGTTAACATTATGCTAAAACTAAAATTCACAGATAAATGAAATGTTGTCCCCAATAAAGTCCATTAACTGCAGCAAAACCAATTAGAGTTCAAAGTGCTGACCAGGTTGCAAAAGAAAGGAAAGAGCTCAGATTAGTTGACAGTTCTTATTATTATTCTTAAGATCTGGCAATGTCTTGAAGTAGTGTGGGATTATGGGAGTTGTTGTCTTCACCACCATTGTTGTCATTGCAGTCAACTTAAGGGTTCCTTCAGTGTTCATCGTTCAGGAGGTTTCTACTAGGAGCTGAATTATCCGCAGAGGTCCCCTTCTCTCAAATAAACAAAAAAAAAAAACGAAACAAATGGACCTCTCAATTAAAACCAGTAAAAACACAGAATAAAGTAGTTTCACCTTAAAAATCAGCGACCAGTAAAACACACCGTTGCCTGAATTACATTTTTCTCTGGGTTTGAACATTGTTGGAAACATTTGGGGTAATGTAACACAACTCAACAAAATATTTACCATAAGTCTAGCATTTTTAGACATTATAAAGCAGAAATGTTAAATATTATATCTAAGATATCTCTTCTATTAAGAATTGTTATTAAGGAACAATATCATTAAAGAGTTTTAGGTCCTGGTGTCAATTATTGGATGGGCCTACTTCCAGGGGAACAATCAAGGAAACTAATGTGAAAGACAGGCATCAACATGACTTACATTATGAATTATCTCTTGTATTATGGTCTTTTTTTTATTGTTTTTTATGCACAGCTGGTTTTAATATAAGTTGCTGAGTGATCATCTATGTCTATACTGCCTAAACCCCATCAATGATCATGTTGCTCTCTGCAGATTGTGGCAGACAGTCAGTTGAACCAGGCCTTGTGATGCAGTAAATGAGGGCATCAAGCTCTGTTAGGCAGCAGTATTCACAGGTAAAGCTGAGGCAGAAATTTACTAATGGAATTACAGTCTTTCCTTTGCAGTTTGCCATTAGAATTTGTACCCTGCTGATGATTTCTCCCAAGCAGGTATTTCTACGTCTTATTTGGACAAGGAAACAAGAGTTAATAGGTTTCTGCCTCCAGGCCCAAAGCCCTTCCAGGCTTAGTCTTAAAACCTTCATATCAATTCGCTGCTGGGTGTGTAGCAAATGTGTGCAGTCCACATTGCCTGCAAACTTGTTGTAAGCACTCGGACTGTCCTTGCCAAATTGTCTGGACCCTCTGTGTAAGGAGCATGCAAATGTGGAAGGGAGAGCAAATGAGGCTTAACTGGAGCACTCCAATTTGAAGGCCTCCAAATTTACCAGTTTTTCATCAACCTCAGGGGATAAGGGAGAGCATTGGATATCAGGGAAGAATAAAATTAGGGAGGAAAAGTTTTAGAAAGAGGTCTGAGTACAGATACAGACTAAAGGCTTGAGGTCCTCCTGCCCATGTCTAAAATAAGCCCTCTGTTGACTTCTATTTAAAATTGAATGCCAAATTCAATTGTCTTTATTTTTAACCTTGCAGCTATTTAACCAGCGTATTTTACCTGCAAGATAGTTAAGAAACCTTTGAAACATGTTTCAGAATTAAATCAAATTTTACTGATAGGCAGGTTACTGCATGTACGTAATTGGTTACGTTCTACAGTACATAGATATATATACAGTTAGAGGTGGGCGATATATATCGTTTGCGATAATATCGTCATTGTTGTTTTGACGATGTGCAAATTTCCATTATCGAATATTTCAATTACTTCGACAAAAACAATGAAACGCCCGCGGAAACTCCTCACATCCATTAATACACGGTGCAGCAACGCTCTCTACAGCATGGCAGGATTCAGTCACACAACTAGTGGGCCGACGTGATCACGTGACCTCTCGCTAGCATCCTCCTTGCAACAGTTTAGCAGCGCGTTGTGATGGTAGAGAGAAAATGCAAGCACCTCCAGTCCCTGAAGCTACCGGTACTTCAGATGATTTAGTGCCGAGACGTGGGTCCTATGGGCTTCAGCGTTCAGAGCGCTAAGCGCCTTCAGCGGTAAAAAGATGTCAGCGGAGACGTTTTTTTTTTTTTAGCGCAGCGCTCAGAGCGCTTCAAGTTGAAATCTGTTCAACTTTTAACACCGCTGGGCGCTCGGAAAATAAGTTTTTGAGCTCTCTCAGCGCTGTAAACGCGTTTGGTGGACACAAGTCCAGCTCAGACAATTCTAATCACATTTTAAAGGATATCGACTGATTATCATTATCGCCAAAATCCCAAAAAATATTGAGATATTATTTTTTGCCCATATCGCCCACCCCTATATACAGTACATACACATATATATTGACACTGATCAGTGTTTTTCAAAACTAAATAAGAGAACCAGATTCAATGTTAAATGTTTACTGTGTCAATATCAAGAGTTTGTACAGGCTTATTTTCCCATCTTCTGTCCAACAGGTACTACTTTTTTAGTTCAACTGCTGACATACATGAGACACAGCAGCATGGAGCACAATTCATGACCCTGACACTGACGAACAAAATAAACAAGCTTACCTTGAATGGTTCCTGAGAATGATGAAAAGAAATATAACTTATTCTGCAAGATTTTTGGTTGCATTTTTTCCCCTCTCCAACACAATTTTTCTTAACTGAACATATTAAAAATGGATTTTCTTCCTTTCAAGTTGAGATTCTTTGTGGTTCCCCGCAATACACACACAACTTTCAGCTTTTGATAAACTTCCTGCTTGAATGAGCTCAATGGGTTTGAAAGTGAAATGGGACTTCGTATCAAAGCTAGAAAAAAAAAAATGCTTTGATTTTTCACCCGCTACCCCTTTTTTTGTGCAAGGGATGTCATTGAGTGCTCTTTTTCAAAGCAGCTTTATTTCATGCATTTTCATCGAGTGCTACTCTCAGCAAATTATTTGAAATTGTAGCCCATGTCTGAATTCTGAACATACTATAACATCACATCATGTTAATAAGATTAGAATTTCTGGTCATTTTCAAGCTTTGCTGCTACTGATCTGTGCTCAGCAAGATCAATAAGTCTTTAACCATGTCCTTCTGTTTCTTACTACTACACCCTCTTTGTGGTACTGCTTTATGTTCTACAATACTTTGTTTTTCTTTCTCCCTCAGGTCAGTTCCTCTGGGTGAACAGTTCAGCCTTTGGTGGTCCCTGGGTGCTGAGTCCTTGGCTGTGGGGGGGCCAGGGTCAATGTAGTCTGGACATGGCTGTGTTCTTCCACCCCAAGCAAAGTGGGAAGTACACCATATGGTTCATAGAGCGGGACAAACCTCCACTTGCCCTCTTCTCCACTGACACGCTGCCACGCATCACAGGGTAAGCACTTGTTTTATATTGTACAAGAATACAAAAATATATTGATTTGAGTAAAGAGAATAAGCAACCATGAAGTAGACGTCCCTGTACACCCACACCTGATGGCCTCAACTATCCACCTGTAACTTTTCCTTTAACAATCATGCTAAGGTTCACTGACTTAGCAAGAGCTTTATTGTCAGTGCTCTGTTCCCAGACCTGTGTACCATGTGTTCCATTAGAGGTAGTGATCAGAACGGCACCTTTTTTATATGTCAAGTCAAGTTACTTAGTTACTTTATGTATATAGCACATTTAAAAGCAAAAGGAGGACCTAAAGTGCTTTCCATTCAAGGCAGATGTGTTAGCATATACCTCAGTACAGGTATACATGATTAAAGGAATAAAATGCATTAATACATAATGCAATACAATATTACATATAATACAGAGGAGACCAGACAAATGAGCAGACAGACAGACAGACAGACAGACAGACAGACAGACAGACAGACAGACAGACAGACAGACAGACAGACAGACAGACAGACAGACGCATCAAAACTAAGTGAAGCTGACCATGGGGGCAGCCTCAGACTGAACTAAAAGCAAAATAAAAAAGTGTCTTGGTGGACCAAGACTTAATGTGGGACTCAACTGTTCCAGAGCAGCAACAGACAAAGCCCGGTGACCTTTGGTTTTGAGGCATGAGCGAGGGACTGAGAGGAGTTGTTGTCAGGATGACCTAAGTGACCTGATGGCAAAATATAAAGTTGGCAAATCTTAATATTTTGTGGAGCTAATCCATATATATATATATATATATATATATATATTTATTTTTGTAAAAACAAATGGTTTAATTTTAAAATCTATTTAGCATTTTTTCATATGGAAATGGTGTAAGGTGGAGTGAGAGCTGGGTAAGTAGGGAAGATAAGTTATTTAAAAAAAACAAGTAATTTGCTTTTGCATCAACTGGGCACCAATCTGCATTCTTATAACCTTCCTGTATGACTAATCCTTTATTAACACTAGGTCTGTGCTCTTCTCATTGTGGCTTTTCACTGGAGACTTAGTAGAGATATGTGTCTCACACTAAGAGCAATAGTGACCGAGGCCAGGACAATATTCATTTCAAAAGTTTCTTTTCTAAATACTTAATATGTGTGGTCGTATCCATGTTTTGCCAATGTTTATTATAGCTGTACTTTGTTTTTTATGTGTAGGAAGTCTAAATACAAAGAAAGACTCAGCGTGCATGGACATGTTTCATGCTGCTTGTGTGTTTAATCTCTTCAGGGCTTTGGAATCATATTACTGCCATGCTTTATGCATTTACCCTCTCTCTGTTGCTGTTTGTGTGTGTGGGAGTGAATGTCCGCTGACGTGTGTGTGTGTGTGCGTGCGCGCATGTGTGTTTATGTGAACATTCGCGGCCGGCGTGTCTTCTTAAGGGGGCATTGCAGAGATGCACTCATTACATGTGTGACGGATTAGACTGTGCGTTTGTGTGCTCTCATTTGTAGTCAGAGGCTGCCATCCACCCACACCAGCTCTGTCGTTTGGAGACTCGCTGAGCCAAACTCCACACATTTCTGTTCCAACGGCAGGACGCTCATATCATAAAAAGAGGGGGCAAAAACAAAACCAAGAAGAGCCACCCGCGGACATTAGAAGAGTCAGTCAGCTTGCTAATTGCCAACCCGAGCCATTGCCTTTGGATTTTAATGTTGTATTTTGACATGTTTGCCCAATTCAGCAGTCAGGACATTTAGCAGACTTAGCCAAGAGGGAAACAAAATATCCCTCTACACAATGATCATTTAACAAGGTCCTCCTTACCTGAAGGGAAACTTATGAGGCTTCATTTCATTCATTTTTAGTTAAACTTTGTATTAAAATTGTTCATAGGCTAGAGCAGAGACAGCAACCATGTCCACATAAAGCAAAGATGTCCATATCACAAGTATGGTCCCACTGGAGTAGGAATAACTTGGCACTATAGAGCCTTACAGTAGGTAACCATTCCTCTCTCTGGTGTTGCTCCTTACTGTAACAGTGGTATTAATAATGGAATTAAAAATAAATGATGGAAGCCATAGTAAATACTGTTGCTCCTATAACTTAAACGACTATGATTTTGTTTCTGTACTAAATTCTTAATCAAGAAACCTCTGATTAACTGTAACTCTGAAACAGGCGTCCAAGCTCCACTACAGCCATCGGTGCCTGAGGGAGAGCTCCCTTTGAAAGGTCTGAAAGCTGCTCCGCTGCCTGAGTTGCATTAATGTTGCATCACATCTGATGGAATTGTCCAAGCACAATAAAATCTTTGAGAGTCAATTCTCAATGGCTAATACTCTATCCCCTACAAGTGCTTTGAAAGTTATAGTAAAAATGTATGCTTGTTTCTGTGGTGAATTGGGGAAAAAAATGATGAGGGTGAAAAGACATGGACAGGTTTTAGCATATTCTGACTCACATGAAGAAGGCTGTGGGTGTAAGCCATTGGCCGACTATTGCAGTCAGAATTCTCCTCCCCTTCCATTGTCTGCGTGGTTCAGCATTACAGCTTTTTTTCATTTGCCTGGTTAGTCAGAAATCTACTTGGCTGAAGTTAATTTTTACTTGCCCCTATACAAATTGTTTTATTTATAAGCGATTTATCAAATAACAAAGATCATCTTAACTTAAACAGCCCCGTTTTATCTGCCTTGCTCTCAAACCTACGGCAAACTGCACAATACATAGTTGGAGTTTCACCCACATCCTCTAAAACCACCCAACTAAACTCTTTGGGCTCTATCTTGCCGATCTGTAACGCAAGTATCAAACGCAAGTAGCTTTGTGGGCGGATCTCGGGCGCTGTTGCTATTATGCCGGCGGGATAAATGACTTTTGTGCCCGGCGCAAATCTAAAATGGGTTGGTCTGACTCATAGGTGTGGTTTGGGCGTAACGTGCAAGAAACCAATCAGAGCGTCATCTCGCATTCCCTTTAAAAGCCATCACGCTTGTTCCATGGCGGATTGCTATTATAATGGCGGATTTGCCAGGCGCGCACCAGGAGCGGTCCCCCCACTCCATCTCTGTCTACCCGCTCCACCAGGAGCACATCGCGCATTGCCACTCCCGGACCCTGACGTGTCCAATCCCGCCGAAGCGTGCGTCGCATGCCTATCAGTGGGAAAAATAATTAGTTCTTCTGTTTAAATCTTTTCAACTTTTCATTTTCCGTTTGAATTTTTTTTTTTTTTGATCATTTACGAACAGTTTGCTATTGATTTTTCTGTTTGACAGAATGTAAATAAAGAAATGTCATTGACATACTTTACTAATAATATTTTAGTACATACTAATGTTTTTCCTTGTAATTATGTATGGTTTGCAAAAATGGGAACTGCTTCCTTGTAGATGAGAGAAGCAAAGTGTATGCACGTTGCGCACACACTACATTATGGCCAAGCATGTGCCCTTAAAATAGCATCTGAATAAGCGCCACTGACTTTAGACTTGTTTTAGACTTCCGTTTGCGCCGGAACACGCCTCCTCTTTTTGCTGAACCGCCCCCGGAGCGCAAGTTCATTCCCTAATTTAAGGACGTGAGTCTGTGGAGGGTAAATTCCAATGTGCGTCGAATGCAAAATAGGAATTATACAAGCACCAGTGTACAAAGTCAATTGCGCTGAGTGCAAGATAGAGCCCTTTGTCCTCTTTGTCTTTACAAAGTGCCTGATCGTAACTATACATGCAGCATTCAACAACAATAAGGAAGCGAGATGGCTCACTCCTTAGCTACTTTGGAGAACAATGTGTTTAACTTTTTTTCATCGCTTAGTGAAAACCCTGGCCATTTTGCAAGGGCACTGTGGCTGCATCCGGGTTTTCCCGGGAGACAAATGTGATCGGTTTAAAGAAAGCCAAACAAGACAGTGTTTTTTTTTTCCTATACCAGAATGATAAAAGGTCCAGCTAGAGCTTTCTCCAGCGCTGGCACAGCGCTAAAACAAAGTGTGGAGATCTGGGGAGGTCTATTTATTTTTATTTTTATTTTTTTTATTTTACTGTGCAAGTCTGTCTGTCTCTCGCTCTTGTCTGTCTGTCTCTCGCTCTCTCTCTCTCTGCCTCTCTCTCTCTCTCTCTCTCTCACCCCAACTGGTCGAGAGAGACGACCACCCACCTAGAGCCGGAGGATCTGTCCTAGGTTTCTGCCTTTTAACAGGCAGTTTTTCCTTGCCCTTGTCGCCAAGTGCTTGCTCATGGTGGTACTGTTGGGTCTCTGTAATTAATGTTTTAAAGAGTTCGGTCTAGACCTGCTCCATTTGAAAAGTGTCCTGAGATAACTTCTGTTATGAATTGGCGCTATACAAATAAAATTGAATTGAATTGAATTGAATGTTTTCACCAGAAACCAGATGCTACTGCTCTGCTCCTCTTTCAAACCAAAAACTTCAAACTTTGAACGGCAGTCTGAGGAAGAATGTCACTTTGACAGAATGCCAATGGTGATGCAACATATGGAGCTTATGTTTGGTTCATTAAACATAGTAATCATTCATTCAATTCAACCTTTCTTTTAAGGGAACAAGTCAAACTGGTTTACCAGTGACTTAAATATGCAGGGACTTTAATCAGTAACATCTGGGATGTGGTTTACTTAAGATAATTACCACTATACAGATAGAATTGTATGGTTAGCTTATCAGTTCTCCTTTCTTCAAACTCCTGCCTCAAATTTCATCATACATTGTGTAACTTTACCTGAGAGAAGCACATTTCGGACCTCTGAATGCAGGCAGCAAAGGACTTGACTCATCAAACAGTGTCAGCTCTCACAGTGAATGTCAGCATGCCAAGTGTCTCTGTCAGCACTGAAGGAGAAATGGGACGAGAGAGACAAGGGCTGCGAGATGTGTGTATGTATTCATAGTCTGATGTCTTTTTGTGCATATCTCAGTGTGAATTGTGTGTGTTAGTACAGTCTTTGCACATGCATGTATGATATATCTCATTCTGTGT